TTAAGGCAATAAAAAAAATCATAGAAGTCGATATATCAATGTGTTCACGCCAGCCACGGATATTAAATTTGTTTTGTGGTTATAATTTGTCACATAAGTATTCATTTATGTCATAGTAGCTTTTATTGAGGAGAAATTGTTTTAATTTATGAATAAAACTGTTGTATTTATTATCGTGCGTTATTATATATTGCTATGGCCAGTACGTTACGTACTAGTGAAATCCATGTTTGTCGTGAGCTAGGCAGGTTACTGCATATCACGGATTAGTGGCCTCGGTATTAAGGCCTCGGAATAATTTTTTGGGGCAATTCAACTAACAAATCTTAAGCTTCAAAAACGATGTATTCGCTCTGTTTGGACTGAAAATACAGATAGTTGTCAACCATACTGCCGTAATCATGGATTTTAACCCTTCCATCATTATATATTTTAGAAATATGTCTCTTTGTGAAAAATAATCCAACATCTTTCCCAAGATTGCCTGATACAGTTCAGCGCAACAGACGAGACAATCAACGACTACGTATGCACAGCGCCAAAACTGCTCATTTAGCTAGTAGTGTAATCTGTGTGGCACTCAAAATATATAATAAATTACCAAAAGAGTTTGTCATTGAATTATAATTTGTTTAGACATTACATTATTACATTAACATTTCCTTAACTCTGCTTGAGTTAAGGAAATGTTGGTTAAGAAATGCTATTATAATAGTAACGACTACTTCATCATCGATGATGAAGTAGTCGTTATTTAAGTAGTAGTAGTACTACTTAAACGATCTCTTAATTAATTATATATTTTTTTTACAAGGTTTTGTCTTTAGCTGTAACTATTTATCTTAACACACATTTTATATTTTTTTCATTTTGACATTTAATTCTGACATTCTATTTTATTTTATTATTTTAGACATTTTTATAGCAAACATTCCTAGATCATATAATTATATTGTTGTATTGATGATTTTTGTGTTTTCATGAACTAATTTAATTACTATTGTCAAAATATACCCTCAATCAATTTATATTTGTACGCCGTCCATGGCAAAACATGTTGATACACAACGACTAACCTATTGAACTGTTTAGGATTCATTTCCTGTAAACTACACATGTTTGAAGCAAATAAATATTTATTTTTATTATTAAGTCTCTTTCTGTGCCTTAGTATAATTTTCGTTTGTCTTCCCTTTTAGTATAAAAATTTCGATTCGATGTAACAGATAGTTGTGAATAATGACGAATGACGATGAAATAAAAAATTAAATCTAATATCTGTTTTAAATAAAATGTTAAATTTACATACTATTTTCCGGGCTAAATTGGCCTATTTGCATTATATTAAACCTTTATTAACACAATATGTACCACCCCATTATAAGCCTCACTTTCAAGCACTTTATAAAAAAAATTACTTTGCGCAGCATTAATGTATTCTAAATATATAAATTTCTTCGCAAGCAACCAGATTTTTTATGTTTATACTATGATGTAGGCGGCCAGTTCGTAAGGTGAACACGATAAACATATGCGTACCTCTAAAGTGCGCATATAGTCCAGGCACATTGACTCATTTACAGAGATAAAAAAAGAAAAATGTTATCCAGATACATACGTTTTCAAATGGTTAAAAGGGTTAAAGTCAACATAAGGAAAATGAGTTATGTGCCCAAGAAAGTTAGGGGATGATTTTAGGGGTTGAAAAGGGGTGAAAATGGATACATCTCGTGTTTTTTGCAATTTCACGCGAAATTTGATGTCCCACTGAAAAATGTTAAATACAAAAGTTGTAGATCTTGGAAAAATCTACAACTTTTGTATGGGTCATTTTTTAATATAACCTCAAAATTTCAGAAAAAAATGCAATAAATCAAAAAAAAATTTGTTTTTCGTTTTTTACTTGTCAATTTCTCAAAAATAAATATTTTTAAACCCAACTTGCTGAAAGTACTCCTTTTTATGTCCCAAACAATAAAAACAAAATTTTAGATTGAAATATTAAAACCTGTTTGAAAAATTCATTTATTTCGGTCCGAGACACGTTGTTTTCAAAGTTACATTTTACTACTTACAATCATCGTAGAGAGGTCATACAGGGCTCATTTTTTTCGTTTTGACGTCTACTTTTTAATGAAATAATAAAACAATACAGCTTTCATTTAAAATCATGTCTAAATATTGAAAAATATAAAAAAATCATTTTGCAAAAACAAATTTTTTGGTTGTTGTTAATAATTTGTTATAAATAAAAAAATAATTCAAAAACTAATAAGACCATTGAATTGTACGGGAAAAAACACGAAGGAACATATGTTTTCCTATTTAAATTCATTTTTTATTTTTGTACAATACTGCTATAAACTTTGTAATAGCATATTCCGTGTAGTTGAAAGATGTCAGGTAAGTACATACAATGCGATCGACTTTTACTTTAATAAGAAAAGTTCCTCATTTCTCGCGATGAAATTAATTTATTCAATTATTTTCTACATATTTTGATAAATAAATCGTCTTATAATTAACTTTTGTATACAATTATTTAAAACATGCTTTTAAATAATTGAATGATTTTTTTAAAATGAATTCTGAATCTAATTTAACTTGCACCGAATTTATAATTGAAATTTATATCAACAAAATAGATTGTTAACAATACTACTACTAATAATAATAATAAAAAAGTAATGGAGGTAAATGACAATAATGAAAAACTCAATTTTAATCAAGTTGATTTTTTAATGAAATATGCTCAAGTACTGATAAATATCATACATTTGCACTTTATATACATAAATATTATACATTTATTATGCGATTTATTACATATTTAATAATGAATACATTATGCACACTAGACCAATTTTTGTCTTTTCGCTAATTGTAAGTTTGGCTGATCATCATCGATTAATTGTTCGTCGAAATATGTGACTTCCTCATTATCTTCAATCGTTTCTTCATCAAATTCCTCTGGAAACTTTTCCATAGCAAGATTTTCTGAGTTGAAGATGTTAAATGGTTGTTCAATTTCATCAGGATTATCAGAAATTTCATCAAAATCACTTAAATCTTTTGAAACTTTTTCAACGTTTGAACAACTTTCAGAACCATGGCATTTTGTGCATAACTCTGTCCATCGCAACTCATGCTTTCTGCAACCGCATCAATTGAATTAATTAATTTCATCGCGAGAAATGAGGAACTTTTCTTATTAAAGTAAAAGTCGATCGCATTGTATGTACTTACCTGACATCTTTCAACTACACGGAATATGCTATTACAAAGTTTATAGCAGTATTGTACAAAAATAAAAAATGAATTTAAATAGGAAAACATATGTTCCTTCGTGTTTTTTCCCGTACAATTCAATGGTCTTATTAGTTTTTGAATTATTTTTTTATTTATAACAAATTATTAACAATAACCAAAAAATTTGTTTTTGCTAAATGATTTTTTTATATTTATCAATATTTAGACATGTTTTTAAATGAAAGCTGTATTGTTTTATTATTTCATTAAAAAGTAGACGTCAAAACGAAAAAAATGAGCCCTGTATGACCTCTCTACGATGATTGTAAGTAGTAAAATGTAACTTTGAAAACAACGTGTCTCGGACCGAAATAAATGAATTTTTCAAACAGGTTTTAATATTTCAATCTAAAATTTTGTTTTTGTTGTTTGGGACACAAAAAGGAGTACTTTCAGCAAGTTGGGTTTAAAAATATTTATTTTTGAGAAATTGACAAGTAAAAAACGAAAAACAAATTTTTTTTTGATTTATTGCATTTTTTTCTGAAATTTTGAGGTTATATTAAAAAATGACCCATACAAAAGTTGTAGATTTTTCCAAGATCTACAACTTTTGTATTTAACATTTTTCAGTGGGACATCAAATTTCGCGTGAAATTGCAAAAAACACGAGATGTATCCATTTTCACCCCTTTTCAACCCCTAAAATCATCCCCTAACTTTCTTGGGCACATAAGTCATTTTCCTTATGTTGACTTTAACCCTTTTAACCAATTAAAAACGTAGGTTTCTGGATAACATTTTTTTGTTCTCCATATTCAACGTGCCTGGACTAATACTATGTGTATATTATTAGGTTTTGGCATAATATGAACAATATGGATCGGTTGCTATAAACAACTGGATAACAAAATTCTAATAATATTATTACAACACATTCACTTAATTTCGAGCTTTACAAGGGGGACAGCGCGTACGCAGTCCCCACTACCAAAAATTACGCATCCGAGTTATCCACATTAGGGATAATCGCAGGGGTCAACCCAACCGCAGTGCAATGGAGGGATCTCGCCCTGGGGGAACCGCCTTCATGATCACGGTATCCCCTATGCCAGGTAAGTATGATTTCGAAACAGTGGATCAGGGTAGTCATTCAGACGAGGAGACTCTTAACACCGACTTCTAATTTGCTAGTAGCGCCATCTAGTTTTCACTAGTGTAGCTGCGTGACTTTTGGCTTCAAATGGTGCTTATTCCCAACAAACATTTAGATAATTTCATGTTGTCAGTACTAGGGAATAATAAAAATAAAATAAATTATCAATATACAGAAGATCGCTCCAAATGTCGGATGAAACAACGATTAAAACATTATTTTTCAATTTCAAATTTTGTTTTCTTTACTTTCTCGTATTACCTAGTCGCATTATATTTTCAGATGGTTTTTTATGAGGTACATTCCTGTGGTAAATCGGTAACCATAAGATATCTATGACATTAATTATCAGTATTCACCCGTCATCGCGTTATTAAAGGAGCCGCAGTCCTGACAGGCGACTCACTTAACTATAATTTTTTCTTGTTTCATTTAATTTAATTATTCTTGTTTCATGGAAGTACATTGAATTTAATTTAAGGTACATGCGAGTTCATTGGTATTTCATTGTTGTATTTAGAAAATAAACTGGTTTGTAAAAGTTAATAAAATATCGAATTCTGGTAATATATTTATTTACACAATAATGAAAACATCAAATATTTAAATTCAAGTTTTCCACATAATATGACTCATAATCTTTATAAGTCCTACCCTCAACGGTCCGGCTATTAGATATATATTTTCTCATTTGGTTCTCTGACCAAAGCTTCAAGTTTTCTTGCCCCAAATCCAACGTTTTGGCAGTCTTCTGTAGGCTCAGAAGATTCTCGTTGAGGCGCTTTTTTATTTTGTCCGTGATTTTTTGTTCTTCTTCCAATTGTGACGTAATGTCTGCAACAAACATTGACTTTGGTATTTCTTTTTGTTGGATTATCAAAGGAAACCTCTGAAGTCAATAATGCTGTACCAACCTATTTTTTCTATTTACCATTATTAATTCACGAAAACTTATGCACTGCAATAGTAACTTCATAATATAGGTTCTACTACTATATCTATTGTATAGGATTACAAAGTTATTTATGCAGTTTTAATATCTAGAATTAACGGACTACCATTTCTTTTTTAATAAAACCTTGACACCTCTTCCAAATAGCTGTCTGATCCCTAATTAAGCACAGCATGTGCTATGGTAACCAGATCGCTGATAAGCATACTTATATATTTCTAAATATAAAACATATTTTAGATAAATAACACTCGAACAATCGTTTTATTTTTGCATTGTGACCAGACCAGATATGAAAGAATTGTTTGTTTAAAGTTAACAAATAAGGTTAGTTATGAGGATTTATGGTAATGATTATTGCTAACAATATGAGAGTCCCATAATTTAATAGCATCATTATAATAAAAAATACCTCTTCTCAATATAACAATAAAAAGTCATCTTACCTATAAGCATATCCTTTTTCTCTCTACCCTCAAACTCCTTCAACTTGATGCTCATTTCCTCCCTGTTATGTACCAGTTGTACCACTTGCTGGAGGTTCTTAGTCAAGCTGACAGACGGACATACGATTGAACATGATAGGTCGTTGTCTTGCAGTCTTGTGTGGAGGCGGTTGATCGAGGCTTTTAGACTCTCAAATATCCAGATTTTCTCACCGCTGGAAAATATTTAATAATAATTTCCTTAAATATAACTTCTTACATTATAATCCTAGACGTTCTAGCTAGGCTACTTAAATAGCTTGTGTTAAGAACAATCCGTTACAGAGTTCCATAAAATTAAACAAAAGATACATAGCACATTCATTTTAAATAACATTAATTGGTAGTTTGCTTATGTGCACATGTGAGTGTGTAAGAGTGTATGTGTGTGCATATGTCTATGCATGTGTGTGAACCTATCGAATTATGTAGTTATTCCAGGCTTTTTCATGTCATATTAATAATTAGGTGCAATCGTAATCAGGCTTATGGCAATAAGGCTTAATTATTAGCCAACCTCACCATATCCTCCATACAATACACATTGTGAGAGAACCATGCTTCGGGACATGTGAACCAGGCTAGACCGAAGAGATACCACGGCTTCACAGAAAACTGATGTTAAACAGTTTTTTCGTTGCTTTTCACCGAGTGAGTGAGGTTGCCAGAGGTCCAACCCCTCCACCCCTCCCAATTCTAAGAGAACCACTCAAAGGGCAACGCACCTGTGTCTCTTAAGTAGTTACTTACCACCAGACGATCTATCTGTACATTTGCGCTTATACTATAAAAAAATACAGAGTAGCTATTGGCCACAAGCTGCAATTTCCAACCCCGAAGCTCAGAAAAGATCCTGTTTGTTCGTTCCCGGTTATAGGTAGAAAAAAATTTAATTAACTACTAGTTAGAGGGCCTACTAACAAACCCATTGCAGTTTTATAAGGTGTGCTATGGTAGACCCTGTACTCTCCCGCACACGCGAAGAGACAGAGCAGCACAAAACACGAACAGTACAACTGAATATCCACCAGAAGAAGCATAGCTTGAGGATGATAGTTAGAATGTAATGCTCACCTTTCCAAAATAAGTTTTCGATTGTTTGCCAAGTTAAATTTGTTTAGATACACTTTCAGTTCATCAATGAATTTCGGATTATGGTTATCTGAAACGGAAAAATGGTTAAAGATTACCACTAATAATAATTTTATAATAATAATAATAATAATAACTTTACACATCTCACACACGGCCGTCTGATCCATAACTAGGCAGAGCCTAAGCTATGGTAACCAGACTGCTGATAAGCATACTTAAATATTTTTAAATACATAAATATTATAGATAAATTGCACCCAGACACAGAACACATGACCATGCTCATAACACAATATTTGTCCTGAGTGGAAATCGAACCTCGTGGGTTCTTAGCAGTCTTCAGTACCTCCGGCTTAGCAGTCATCAATTAGTCAATTTATATCATACATACATATAATTATGACAAAATTCTAAATAGCTAAATAAAATATGTATTATAAATAGATTACGCCCAGGCACAGAACACATAATCACAAAGTAATTTGTCTTGGGTGGGAATCGAATCAGAATGTGAAGAGTTAAGATCACTTATCACTATTTAAAATGACTTGCTGTTTGACTAACTGATTCACGAATGCATAGCCTAAACTTGAAATTTTGGCAGGTGATGCTTTTTTACAAGATAAGAAAGGTTTTTTGGCAATGTAATTAATAATTGAAAGTCTGACAAAAGTGTCATCATTTGAACTCACATTTTCAATAATAATTGTTATCAAATAATAAACAACTAGAATATTGGTATACTGATTAACTATGATCCTCTGCGGAGGTGGAGTACTATTTAAGATGGGCTCTGATAACTCAGCTGTAGTTAACCTTAGAATACACATTTTTTAATCATTATTCAAGTTTGTTTTGAACTACATACCTCCATCACTGTAAGAGCAATTCTCCTCCGTGTCGAATTCTAAACTCAATTCTACTTTATTTCTCGTTTTCTCTCTGTTCTCTTCGTAAAAGCGCCGAAGAGTCGTTATAGATTCCTGGGGCATTGATAATTGACCTGAAACCATAAATTGGAGTTATTAGGAACGATGCGATGTAGATTCATTCTAGTTCAGCAATACAGTAAGTAAACAGATGCGAAAAATAGCAATAGTAAATGACAGTTAAAATTGGTAATTAATTAATAATAATATTCTACCACAACGCCATCTTGTTCCAACCGAGCTTTTACTATGGGGACTAGACAACTGATATAAATTTATATACTTTTTTTAGAAATACTTTATGAGTTATAAATCATCAATCATCAACAGCTAACTAAAAATGAAATGTTCGTGCACACAAATGGTTGAATTGAGCGGAAACCGTACCCGCGATCTTTGACGTAGAAGTCCGTTACACAAACCACTATGCCATCATAGCCAGCGAATTAATTGCTAATTACAATAAAATTATTAAGTATATTGTCTATTCCGTTTACAAATCGGTGGTTTAGAGCAGTGAAAAACCGTTAACCTCAAAGAATAAAGACAATAGAGGTACTTACTTCCAAACCGGTCAATGGATCTGTCCGAGTAGCCTTCGGTGTGAAAACTGTTGAACACGGTGATGAGACACTCGCGGACATTCTGGATCTTTCTCTCAGTGATAGCGAGAGAAGTTATCACTCTTCTTAGTTCATCTCGTTTACTTTCCTATGAATTATAAGATTAAGTTTTAATATATTTATATCTTTGGTCGAGAACTGTTCTTTCAAGATGTAGGTAGTAAAAAAAAAACAAACTAAAAAATAGAAAATAAATGTTAATGAATTTGAAAAAATGCGTAGGATGCTTTTTACTACTGACAACAGGCACCCAACGCTTTTTTTTCAAATTTATTAAAAAATATTTTCTATTTTTCAGTTTGGTTCTCTATAAAAAACGTGTTTTTTAGTTTTAAAACTCTTATTTTTTTTATTTTATTTTTTTTAAATCGGTGTATTGGCATCGGTCCTCGATACATCTACAAGGTTTGACCGTTTAAAGTCAGTCAAAATCACGCCCAAAGAAGTCGGTTACAAACAAACATACAAGTGAAGCTAATATAAAGCGTGTAAAAAATTGTTTGTTTTCAAAATAGAATAGAAACAAACGAGTCATCTTATACAAATATTTAAAAATATTAAGTGGGTTTATGTACGCTTCACATTTTGACAGGATACACAAACCGCTTCAAAGGTTTTATTATTATTATTTAGCTTTTTATTTCTCATCAATGTTACTTCAACGTACACCTATTGAAAAATAAAAATATTGAGAAAATATACTCACAATGCTCTTATCGATAACGTTGATCTGTTTACCAGTGTTGGTGGTGGAGGCGTCATCGCCTACGGTAGCGAAGGCCCCCCTCCGTGCCGTGACGTCATCGAGCATGGCTCGTAGGGCGGTGACGCGTGCCGACACGCGCGCTTGCTCGCTGCGACACACCAGCACCTCGCACGAGTCGCCAGACACGTACTCCTGGGGAGCATCATTTTTATTTTTGATGTGTAACATATATCTTGTCACTTTCCTACAATCTGTGGTAGTGATTTTGTAAAAAGAAACGGCAGTAACAGAATGTCGAAGAAGCGCGCTGTTTGATTTGGCCAAAAGTACACTCGACATGGCACATGGCACTCGATTATTATAATATATTGAATACGAACGTTTAGTTGCGTGAGCGCATCGGCGAGCCTGGCGCGCGCCTGCTGCACGTGCGCGCGCTGCTTGAGCGCGTCCAGCGCCAGCGACGTGTGCAGGGACGCCGTGTGCGACAGTACCCACTGTGGGGTCACCCTGCGGACAGTTATACTGCATATAGTTTTGGCACCCTCCTTTTATTAATAGAAACTTAAATGATAGTGTACTAAAAATTTATCTTTTAACGTTGTTTTTTTTTAATAAACTGATAGTAAGTGGTGTGGTGACAAATTAACCACCACCCCTATTCATCCCGTGGATATTGTAGGAGTCGACGAAGGGACCACACTATGCAGGTAAACAGCACTGCCAAGAGAAGGGAAACTTGACACAAACCCTATACCAGCCCGAGTCAGTGTGGTATAGTAGGCCAAAACCTCCTTTCTAAAGAGAGGCCTAGGTCCAGCAGTGGACTATTGATGATGATGACGTTAAGTAGCTACCGCCATCCATGAACTATAACTCAATAGTGATAAGTGCGTTGTGGGTGTAAGCTCTTTTTATAAGAGTCGAGGTCGTATTGGTCTAGTTTTATCACAATAGTGACAATTTCTTCAACAGACTAGTTGTGCCAAGCAAAAAGTTGCTTCAAAAACCGTTCTTCTCTTCTCGTGTTCTGTTTTACTAGTTATAAAATATACCCTTTATTTTCAGCAGTGTTATCAGACACGTTGGTGACACTGAGAGCTGAGATGAGCGCAGCACGACGCTCGCATAGCTGAGGCCACAGCACTTCGCCACTGCATTTCACCAGAGATATGAAGTCCTCTAAAAACAATAAAAGTAATAGATGAGGCTAAATGATTTAAGTGATTATTTTATTTAACAATTGTTTGGACACAGCTGGTTCGGATTGTTTAGGTAGAAATCTGTACTCATTTGCTAAATTTGCTTGTTTGTTTGGTTGAAGGCGTTAATCTCAGAAACTAACTGGTTCGAATTGAAAAATTATTTTAGTGTTGGTTAGCCCATTTATGGAGGAATACTATAAAACACCACGCTACAGCATATAGGTATCGAGCATCAATGAAAAATGTACCTAAAGCGGGGATAAAACTTTTGAGCAGACGAAATGGCGTAGGTTAGCTAGTATTCTATATCATGGTCTGAGCATATAATTTTCGTATGAACACTGACTAACATTCTGTTTTTGAATTATGTGATTCACGCATAAATGATGTTAGATATAATTGTACTCCGTTTATTGGATTGAGCTAGTGTTTTTTTTTATTGAATTCTAGTCACACATCAGCAGAAAAATTCCGTCCACAATCAGTCAAATGGACTGGAACTAACGAGCGAAACCGTTTGCGATACGCCTTAAAATAAGTGAAACAGCGACCATTACTTCGGGTGAAATTGCAAGAAACGACGAATATAGAATTAAAGACAGTGGCTACTCATTAGGTAATTTGCTATAACTTAGTCTAGACCGGGATGGTTGGCGCTCTTTGAGCCTTCTCTTGGAGGCCTTCGTTCAGCAGTGGACGGCAATAGGCTGAATAAGAAGAAGTCTAGGCTTTGCTTAGTTTTGCCACATTTCTGTAAACTACATTTTTAACTAACCAAGCAAATCATTAATTTGTATTTTAGCGTAGGTACCTTTACTTGTCTTAAAACTTCGTATGGAAATATAAGCAGTTTTCTGATGATGTATAGTATGATATGATGATGGTATGAGTATGATGATGTATAGTCCATTCGCGTTAAGAAAATAGTGACACATTGATGCTTGCGTGGGTGCGACACTATTTACTAAATAAATTATTTCTATTTTAACGTACTTCTAAGTGGCGTAGCGAAATAAAACGTATGGGAATACATGTAGTTTGGATGGAGCAATGTGAATGTGGAACTCTTCAGTTGCTACGAAGTAAATCTCTTAAGATGCGGCTTAGTCCGAAAGTTACTAAGCATACTTAGCAACAAGGGTCTGATGGTAAAACAGAGAGGGAATAGTGGAACTCATTTCTACTTTTTAATACGGTTTAGTTAACGTTATCTTCACGTACATAGCGTTAACTAAACCATTGTATATTTTAATAGTTTTACTATGCTATATTTGTTTTATTACATAATGGTTTAAGTATATTTGAGCGATTAGTGTATATTATTAATAATTTCTACAGACTGTAAATGTGGACCAAGTACCTGTATTAACTGAATATTCAACGCCTTCTGCAAATAATTATAATTGTACATTAAACACTAGAACGCTGATGTATCTTACGATTGTGTGTATTTAAAAAAAAAAACAAAACATGTTAATACATAATTACCCGAATCGTTGAGATCGCCGTTGTTGGATAAGATAGAACTCTGCAGTGGGTTAGCAGACACTGGGACTGAGGGCGCGCGCGTTATTAGTCGTAGGCTGGATTTGTCCAACTTGCTCTGTAAGTAACAGTAATATATCACATCCCACACATCAATCTTTATTAGTCCACTACTGCTACACACTACCTTAGAAAAACGATTTTGGCCTACTATACCACTCTGGCCAGACGGGTTGGTATAGGGTTTGTGTCAAGTTTTCGTTCTCTATGCAGTGCTGTTCTCCTAGTTTGCTTCACTCTGTGACACTCCGTGTTTTTAATCTGTCACCACATAGATGCAGTAATATTTATAAATTATCAATTATCTGTCTACAACTAAGTACCTCTTTCATACAACTAAATATCTATGTTAACTGCTTACCTTCTGTTATAAACACTTATAAATAGCTATTAACATGGAATTGTGCTTGGTTATTAAGCTTTTTTGTGAAAGTTCACCAACCCGAAGCCCGGATTACAGAAGTAAGCTGCGATACAAGGTTAACGCATTCTAATTCTATGTTGCAAGTACAAACAGAAAAAACAAATTAAAGTGACAACTTTGTTTGTTTAAAATGTCTATTTCTTGTATGAGCCGGTTTATCGAATTAACATAATATTCTAGATTTAGTCCATACTTAATTATTTTGAATCCTCAACTATATGACCTTTCCACTCTGAAGCAGTATTCTAAGCTACAACAAATTAGTCACAAATTAAGACTTTACTGTTGCTATCTAAATGGACTACAATATTTAAGATATTAAAGTCACTTAAAAGATTAAATTACAACATTGATTTTAATTCAACTAAGGATTTAAACAAGGCATAAAACGAGATTTACATTTAAAACAATCAAATTTGTTAAATTGTATTTTTAAATCCTTCAATAAATTTCTTTTAAATTGATGTACTTAGAGCTACATCCACCAGACTTAATACAATAAAAATTATATTGGCCGGTCTGTGGGTCTAGTGGTCTGTGACCCTGACTGCTAAGACGGAGGTCGTGGATTTGATTCCCACCCAGGACAAATCTGGTCAAGCATGATCATTTGTTCTGTTTGGGTGTAATTTATCTATAATATGTATATTGTATTTAGAAATATATAAGTATGTTTCAGCAGTCTGGTTACCATAGTATATAGGCTTACCGTAGGCTCTGCATATTTTCGCTGTGGCTATGTGTGAACTTTGTATTATTATATTTGACAACGAATTATCATGCTTTCATTAGAATTCGAGCAACGCAGCGTTTAGAACTGACATAGTATATATTGTAAACACGTCTCAGTGAACACTCAACCAAACTCATGGACATCTCAAACAGTTGTTGAACAGTGCAAATTGACTTACTCCAATGTCGGCAGTGTCCTCGTGATAACACAGAGACTCTGCAATAGACCTTGTCTCCACAAGGTTTGCTTTCTTGTTGCGAAGCTCGTCAGCTACTTGTTGTAGTAACCATGCACGGCGTTGTGAACTTTCAACTCTTTCACGAGCAAGATTCCGATGAGATACTGAAACAATGTATACAGTGAGCTCTATATTGTCAGAAGATGTACTTGCATAGACCTATGTTTTCGCGATGCTTAAGTGATATCTTCGGTGCAGGAAACCATGGGATAGTCATGCAAACTTTTCGTTAATTGCAATATTAAGACTGTTGAAAATAGTATTTAACTTTTAAGTGTAATGGTAATGCAGTGTAAAGGTCAACTTATTCTATTTATTAAGACCCCAGGCCCTATTTATACAGCACTTTAATGTTTTATGTGTTCATAAGTCCGTGTGGTGAGGGATTAAGAATACAGAGTGTCACCACCCCTATTCATCCCGTGGGCGTCGTAAGAGCCGACTAAGGGGAGGGGAGGAGAGGGAACAACACTGCAGAGAGAAGGAACACTTGACACAAACCCTATACCAACCCGTCTGGCCAGCGTGGAATAGTAGGCCAAAACCTCCTTTCTAAGGAGAGGCCTATGTCCAGCAGTGGACTATTGCTTTCTGAACTTAACAATTTAATTGTAGTCAAGATACTAACCCTATGATTGTAATTAAAGCAATTACTTACATTTACTAGACACCTTGTTCACTAATTGATTGCACTCTTTCTTTAGTTGCACAACCCTGACCTCAGCAGCTTCCAAATTTTCTCTAAGTTCGGTCTCTTCTTTCCACAGTGATAATTCTTCTGGTACTATTACACTAGGATCTGGCTAAAATATTTTTAAATATTTTTTAGTCCTGAGAGTTCTAACCATTATTTATTTATGACAACTATATTGGTTCTGCAAATTTGAAAAGTGCTACCTTAGTGGGTTTGATTCCCAAAAGAAAGGGAAAGGGCAAAATTTAATAGTTTTTCTGAGAGAAAAAATAACTTAAGTTACTACTTATATAGACAGATATCTAGTTTATAAAATATTATCAAAATAGGGCCAGTTGTTTTGAAGATTACCCGGAACAGACAGACAGACAAAAAAAATTTAAACTGGTTTTTAAGTATAGGTGTCATGCAAATGAGCATGTGAGCATAAGGAAAACATTATTTTGACATTACAAATAGACACTTCAACCACCACTACTACAGTAACTACATAATAACATTTAAATAAAATGTATTCTCATAATGATAATTTTGTATATTCTTCGTAGTTTATCTGTCTGATGTCCAGCCTGCTGATGAAGCAAGTTCAATTACTATATAATATATATTTTGGATAAATTCCGTTGAGGAATTCAACTTACAACCGGCTGGCCAACACACTCCATTACTAACCACTAAACCACAAGACGTAGTTTTATTAAATTATTGGGTCAATAACAGCCATGTGGTTTTTTATAACTTTACAACTCTCTAATATTGTTGCTATTCTAGCAAAAAAATATGTTTTACATAAATAAATTCGTAAGTAAAAAGTTCGTTAGTTTCTATTGATAATTATAATACCAATGACAGAACAAAACTCAGGAGATCATACCTTACAGAAAGCATTCCTCTTTTGACATTTCCTGACATCGTCAACGAACACCTGCATTCGTTTCTGTCTTATAGAATCTCTTTGGTCGACATGTTCTATTAAACTACGCCATACCATATAGTATTGTCCTCTACACATTCTGAAAAGAAAATTGAGTTCGATTGTAATATGCTAAGCTAAAAAATATCAAAACACCATTCTTTGTTGGGTTTTATAAAGTTTAACATTTACTACTGTAAAAGAATGATGTATAAAATATTTGGTAATAAATGTTGTATACCGTAGTCATTGCATACAAATAAAATTAACTTACTCCGCAAGTTTATCTACTGAAGGCACTTTATCAGACGGGCATCCCATTGACAAAAGCCATTCCGCGAACTTATGCGGAACCTTATCACTGCTAAGCTTTTCATCGTTCATTTTATGGGTGTTTAATACTTTTGGTATTGATTTGTTTTATGTTTTTCATATATAAGAACTAGTAAACAAAGCACAACGGTACACAACAGCTATAATTCAAATCTGACACATGCATGTCACAAAGTTTCAAATGGTGCTAAAGCTCGCAACACTGCTTTATAAAATGCAGGTGAAATAAACTGGAAATACTTGTTTGTGTGTGAAATGTGTGAAAATATTATTATTAATTTGCAACGCGATTCTGTTATAACATACGTTATAAAAAAAATGTCTAAACTTGTATAAGTTTATCTTGTAATTCTTTTACAAGTATGTTTAAGCTATCTAAGCATTGTGTAGCGAATATAACGTGGATAAAAAAAAACAGTACTTTAATAATTTATTTGAAACAAATTATTCAGGTACAAATTACGTAACGAGTTATTGTAACTATTGACATGAATAACGTTACAACTTCGTAAAGCATGACTAATTGTCAATAAATATTTGTCAAACTGTCAAAGTAAACAATGTTGACGTTTTTTTTCACAAGGATTACCTCGATATTTACAAAAACTTAAATAATGTTAGGTAATCTTAAAGAGTTTATTTCTGTTGTGCAAGACGGACTAACGTCGAATAACAACATAAGACAAACATTGCAAGAAGTCCAAAAGGTCACAGGTTTATTTAAAGACAAACAGAAAGTAGCTCACGAGAGTAAAGTAAATTACGGCGCTGGAGGTGCTTTATTAGAGAAATATCAAAACGAATGGGCCAATTTACATGAAAATGCTGATGAAAATGCCAGGGCAGCTGACGAAGTCGATAAATTAATCCTAGATTTACATGAAAAGACTAAGGCTCGTTTACAAAGTGCCAGCGAACTGGCGTATAATCTGACCTTGATTCCCACTATGACTGCTTCTGTAGCTCAGTGCATAGACAGTCTGAAAAATGTAGAGGATCTACTAAAGACTGTGGAAGATGAACTAGTGGAGTTTGAGGATATTATTGAAAGAAGTAAAATGGAGAGTTGGAAGCTTGATCATCATTATCATTTAACAATGTACAAAGAGAAAAAAATGGGTTAGTTTGAGTAGTCAGATTACGTGTATAAGCATTTTATAAACCTCAGAAAGTAGAAATATATTTAAAACAATAGAAAAAGAAATAAAGATTATTTGTACTTAAAGACTGAGTGATCATGAAAATACTTTTATCAGTTCTTTATTATTCCTAAAGGTTTTCGGATGAGTTTGTGATGGGTTTGAAAAAAGGACAAATTATATAAGTATAATGATACTTGTCAGTCTTAAAAATTATTAGTTCCTCACAAGTTTCTTTAAAATATTACAGTTAAAAAACTGAGTAAACTTGCAAACTAGCTGCCATTCAGTCAAACATAGCTCTCCAAAAAATGCTGTGCAAGCCCCATATGTTAGGGCAGTTATAGTAAATCCAGATATTTGTTCTATTTGCTTTTTACCCAAAACTATTGTATTTAAACTGCACAATATTATTTTATTTTATGATCAATAATTACAAATAAATAAAATATAAAGAAATTCCTGAAAATACCTGTACAATGCACATGACAACTAATAGGCATATTGCACCAAAATATTTTTTTAATGCCTTAAATATTAGCATGGGATAAAAGTATATAAATTATTTTATATATATTGTCACTTCTCATAATTTCAGTTGCATTAGAAGAAGTCCGTAATAAGTTGACTAAAGAGAACACACAATTAAACTATGAGAGAGAGAAAATCCAACTAGCAGAGTACCAGGCGAAAAGAGAACAGAGTTCAGCAGCATTCCAGCAAGATGTTGCCAGGTATCTGTCTGGTGGCAGCTTACAAAACAGTGAGTAATATATTTATTTTATGCTTTATGCACATAAAAAATGTACAAAGGTGGACCTTATGCCGTAGGCATTCTCTGCCAGTGAACCTTCGGGTGGTGTAGAGATGGGTGATTAAGTGCACTAAACTTGAGTAAGAAGTTTCAATAACAATACCCAACTAAGAAATACATTCACATGAAAAAATTAGGACAGAATTAGGGATAAATAGATATTCATATTCGTTAAACATATATACATACATTTACAGAATTCATTAAATATATTAAGTATTAATCCAATAATGTAGCTTGCTTGTGTGTGATTTACATAGTTTTAAAATGATTTTGGCAAAATATATTTAAAAAATTAACCCTAACACATTATAGATGAAAGAAATCAGGGTATCGACTAAAAAAAAAAAAAGAAAAAAAAGGGTATTGACTGTACCGGAAAAAAAAAAGGGTATCTACTGACTGACCCACATTCAAGGTTAATACATTGTAATGTATGCAAAGTATGATGTATTCATCAGAAGAATACTTTATCAGTGTTTTTAATAACATGTTTATATCTGTTCATATACAAATGTATACTGCAGACCTATGCAGATCTAGTACATGCATGATAGATAGATTCTCTTTATTGTAGACCATGATTAGGAAACATACAGATACATTGTAGAATACCAACAAAAAAACAGTGATACAATGGGTGGCCTTATTGCAGTCTGCAATCTCTTACCTTTAGGCAACCTTTAGGTGGACTATACTGTATAGTAATAATATGTACTTTGTGGTGTGCATTTACAATATGTAACTAATTTTCTTAGTTCATTCTCTTATGACTAGATCAGGGATTCCAAAAGTCGTCGATATCGACCCCTTGGGGTCGAAACCGGTTTCCCAGGGGTCTACGTAAAGGAAAACTGATTTTGGCTAGTTATAAGAATGACTAATATTTAATTTTAGTAGTTTTGATTATAGGATTTGGCTATGGGGGTTTGAGGTATCAGTTTATTTTAGAAAAGGGGTCTCTTGTTCAAAATATTTTGGATATCCCTGCTTTAGATCATATGCCAACCAACCATTAGGACATCTTTGCCTCAGCCAAAGATTGGTTGGTAGGTTATTTGCAACAAGTATAAATAAATAAAATAAGTAGCACTGTGGAAACCATGCAGTTTCATGCTGCCTTGCTTTAATATAGTAAAATTATAAGTCAGTCATTTAAGTGTCACTACAGTTTTAAATTGTATGAATACTTACAGCTATGCTGTAGTTATAGTGAAACTTGAATTTTGCCAAATGACAGTTAGTAAATAAATAAGCCTGCAAAAATGCGAAAGTTTGATTTTCTTTTCTTTTTTATTAGAAAATTATCTATTTCTTCATCATCAGTAGCCTTTAATAGTCCACTGCTGGACATAGGCTTCTCCTTAGAAAGAGGATATCTATTTCTTATTACTGTTTAAATTTGTTTTGTTATCATAATAACAAAACAAAAAAAAACAACTTTGTTTTGTTATCTCTATCGCCAAATGAATAATTACAGAAGGTTCTAATATATTTTAATTGGATTTTAGGTAAACCTTCAACACCAAAGATCACATTGGAACAGATCCAACTGGATGCAGATAGCACCGACTTAGAAAAGTTCCTTGACAGTTGATGGAATGGTTATTCCTCCAGGTTTAGGGTATTGGTGTGATAAAGTGATCATTTCAGAGCTTGTAAAGTAAGACTATGCATTCTATTTTTATTCCAAAGTAATATAATATTGTTAAACATTCTATGTGGTCAGTTTTATTTAAAGTTTTTGACATAGTACACCAAGCAAAATACTCAAATGCCAATACATGATATTATAGTCTGTGGGCAAAGCTTGTCTGCAAAAGAGGACATCTTTTCATCTCCGTTTGGATTGAGGAGCCAGTTTTCTATATCTTAATGAAATTAATATTATTATTTAGTAGTAAATTAAAAAAAAAATAGCCTCTATCCTCGATTTTGTAGTATAATAATAATATATACTTTTAAAGTTATATGTACATAAAGGTGGCTCCTCAATCTAAATGTTGGAATTTTTCAGAACTAGGAACATAATGGATGTCTATTTATCATAATTTAGTATGATTTTGTAGTATTTGAAAGTAGTTAGTAGACAACATCTGAGCTTGGTAAGGTTAAAATTAAAAAAGTTACAATACATTATATTATACGAGGGAGCGTTTTTATGTTCGCGGAATGGGGGATAAGGGGTGGAAATAAAAAAAAACAAATTATTTTTCCTTTTCAATATATTCACCTGCAAGACGGATACATTTTTCAGTTTTTGAATTAATTTGTTTATACCCTCATAAAAAAATGTTTTCTCTTTGTCTTCAAAATACGCCGATTGACTTCATCATCGTTGGTAATTTTTTTACCCCGCAGCTCTTTTTTCATTTTTGGAAACAGGTAATAGTCGCTAGGGGCCAGGTCTGGGCTGTAGGGTGGGTGGTTCAAAATATCACCTTATGCAGGGCAGCCAACGCAACCGGCTCTTGTGGACGGGCGCGTTGTCGTGCAAAAGCAACACACCTTTTGTCAATTTTCCCCGTCTTTTCTCTTTAATGGCTTCTTTGAGTCGCTCTAATATTGAAGCGTAGTATTCTCCGGTTATAGAAACACCTTTATCTTTATAATCGATCAATAATATTCCTTGTGAGTCCCAAAAGACCGTTGCCATGAGTTTCCCAGCTGACTGTGACACCTTAAACTTCTTGGGAGGTGCTGTGCCCTTTTCATGCCACTGCATGGAGTCTTGTTTCGACTCAGGTTCATAATGATGAACCCAAGTTTCGTCTCCAGTAACAATTCTACTCAATACAGCATCCTTGTCTTCATTACAAAGGTCTAAAAATGCACGTGAACACTCTACGTTTTTGTGTCGGCGTGAGCATTCTCGGCACCCATCTTGCACTGACCTTTGTCATGCCAAAATGATCGTGCAGAATTCTAAAAATGGTTGTATCAGATACTCCAACCATTTCTGCGAGTTGTTTCTTCTTTAGTCGAGCATCGTCGAGTACAATTTTTTCGAGTTTTTGGATAAGTTCCGGCGTGATTACCTCGATGCTCCTGCCCGGCCTCGGGTCGTCTTCAAGGGATTCCCTTCCTTGTTTAAATAAACTGTGCCATTTGTACACCATGGTTTTTCCTGGACAAGAGTCGCCGTAAACCAATGACATCTTATTCATTATGGTCGCAACTGAAAATCAGTTGCGACCATAATGAATAAGATGTCATTGGTTTGTAAGGAACTTGCTTGGTAAGGAACTTTATAACGGCACGATATTCCATGTTTCCCTTTTCACTCCCGATTATGTTGCTTGGTTGACGATAACTCAAAGACTTATTGTCTAATAACAATGAAACCTGGTATTTATACTAATTATGAGTCACTGAACACGTGACGATTCTAATGAGCCTAATCACCCCTCTCCAACCCTCTCATTCCGCGAACTTAAAAACGCACCCTCGTATATGGAGCAACTCCTCAGACCATACATACCACTGTTATTTATAAAAGAAGCAATCTTTTAATTGATGTGCAACATCTTCATCATTTAGTAGTAAGTATATTAAATTTGTAGTGTAGTCAGTAATTATAAATGAGTGATTTGGGAGATATGGCACAAAAACTAATAAACTTGTAGTCGTGACGAAATTTTGAACATAAAACATCTATATTTTGTATAAATTTATACTAAATGTACGTATAATCCTGTCATAAAAATTACAGTATCTACGAAGTTATGAGCTATTTTAATTTCCTAACAAAAAAAAATTGTAGCGTGTCCATGAATAACTTAATAAAATGTATTTTTTCGTTCCGTTTTGTACACAAATCAATTTTATTTCATCTAATTATTTGGAGTTAACTGCAACCTTTCACACAACATTTTTTTTCTCTGCAACCGCACAGAAAAAAAACCGTAGCCGGGAACTAGGTATACCCTAGACAGGAAAGCGGCTTATAAATGACCCCTCCTGTGTGGGAACCCGGATGTTCCCTTCCTGCCTCCGAAGGGCGCTCCGTAGCGCATCGCGCCACCACCCACTCCGACCTGCTTCTGCTAGAGTGACAGATATCCTCACTTGTCACCCTCAGGCATGCGCTTATGGAGGACGGAGGTCTGTTCTTGGGCATGGCGAACCGGGAGGGTTCTCAACTTGTCCCGCTCCAGGTTACCTATCTACCCTCAGTAATATTTATTTCTACATCACGACATAAGAGTCAGTATCTCAACACTGATAAATGGTTATTGCAGACGTAGTGAATTGTTACTTTTGTTAATTATTATTATTGTTACAAAACGCGTCAGAAATAGGTAGTATAATATTAGGTGTTTTAGAATTTATCCTTGCAATTAGCAACGCTAGCATATCACTACCCAACAAAGGATAGGATGTTTTGTTACGCCGACTATGATTCTAAATGTAAAATTCGTGAAAGAACCGACCAACCAATATTTATTAATTGTATAACTTATGTCCAAATTGATTAATAAATACTATCTAACGAATTTCTGTACATTCCTATATTTCGATAATTGTCGATTTGTTGAAAATTAAATTTCAAAAACTAGTCCTTGCGATTTCAAATTTTGACATGGTCGCCCTAAATAGCGAATTCATAAGGAATATCAAAAGTTATTTATTTTTCAGATACGGAATATTTACAACGTTGATCTGTACATATTTATTTAGTAGACATTTATACTAAATGTTATTTACAAAATCCACTAAGTTTTACTACTTTCTCCTGATGCTACCTACAAATTCAAACACACTTGTAACTAAATTTTGGAATGGAATATAATTTTTAACCTTTCATGGCAATTCAGGCTCTTAAATATAGATTGAGAAGCCACAGAACAGTACTGGATTTAGATTTTTAGTTGGCACGTGTAGTGGCACAATTACTACTAAATGATACAAAATATTCTTTTAATACTTGCCATGTTTCAGGTGGCTGCTCAATTCAGATGTTTAGATTGAGGAGCCACTTTTACATTGATATAACTTTGGATATATCTTACTACAAATTTCAGGATTTTTCCTACAAAATTATTTGCTCACTCATTAAATAAGGGTGAGTTTCCGTTTACAATTCGTTTAAAATCTGAAGTAGCTCCTCAATCTATGTGGACACATCTTTTTGGCAACATTGGTGTTTGGCAATATTGCCCAACTCGCCTTTCGGCCGTGGAAGAATGGGTATCGGGTGTTTGGCTTTGGACCGTAAGGAGACTGATTGCCGTATATCTATTTACGTATATTTGAGTGCTGTGTTTCTTGCTTATCATGGCTGATATCATGTACACTGCCACTCTTAACATCGCAGGAGTTCATTATTTCTAGTCATTGGATTGGCATATTAATACTATTACTATTTTCGACCGATTTCGGCCACAGCGACCTCTTCAACTCCTTTCAAATTGTCGTTGGATTGGCATATGAGGGTAGTACGAGATATTAGTACCATGGAAAATGGACAGGCTCTTGAATTGGGTTGTGACATAGTTCTGCTTCTTTCGAGTACCGGCTCATTCGGCTGGCATGCCTGCCAGTGTAGATTTAGTACCATTAAAAATATTAGGTTTTTTAATTTGAATTTATGATACTAATGATGTGATGTGATGTTTAACAATAATTTAGTGTTTTTACGGCAAGTAGGTAAAGATTTTATAAAAGAATGCATGCCAGTGTGGCATATACCATATTATGTGACAGTGTGGCAGATACATATACCACGTGGTGGATAATACCATGAAAATGTACCAAGTTTTTAAATGTTAAAAGTGATAAGGTAAAAATATTGTCTTTTTTAAATTTGTATTTATGATTCTAATAAAAATTGTCAAATGTGATGTTTTTAATAAAAAAGAAGTTTTCGGCAAGGTAAAGAATTTGTAGAAGGGGTCATTTCGGGCAAGTAGCTATTTTAGGAATTTATATTTAGATGGTCTTATCCGGAAAGTGGTCATTTCAGAAAAGTGGTAGTTTTAGGAAAGTGTTCATTATCGACCTGAAGAAATTCTTGGTCACTACATTTTATTGTATTTTAATTTTAATATATTTTAGTCGTATTCCGTGTCAGTACCTATTTAAGTGGTATCTCTAACGTTAATAGATAAAATTACTTATTTGTTATACAATTTATCCAGTCATACAAGCAGCTACCCACAACATCTTAAACAAAAAAATAAAATTTGCAAAGTAAGAAAATGTAAACGATCCCGCATATTTTTGGTTTATTATTGCTTATTAGCGCAATGTGCAATTTCTCCATATATTTATTTTACCGCGCCGTACAATAACGCAATAGACCTTATTCTATTTCTGTACAATTTAGTAGAAGTAAGGCTTTAAACTTCATAGCTATTTATCTACTTATTCGTGCCACAATTGATGGCCACAACTCAAGAATTCTACATTTCTTTTTTCTAATCGTTTTATGTGTCAGTAAAATATTTAAAAAAAGCCAGTTGGGTTCTAATGAAATGACCGGCTATCGGAAAAATACCTAAGTTATTACGATTATTACGACTTAATTGCACTTATTGCTATCAAAAAGACACCCTGAAGTTTAAACAATTCATATAAAATTTATTTTTCTTCTCATAATTACCTAAAGAATTCAATTTTTGTACTGTTAACCTTTTTTATGAACTGAAATTGTTTTTCTTATTCAATAATAAAGTCAAAAATACAAAAACATATATACAAAGCATTTATGACTAGTAAAAATAAGCACATTGCTAAAACAGCTTTATCGGAACACGGTGCATACGCCGGTCACGATTACAGTTCGATACATGTCTGCGAGGGATCCCACAAAAACTCGATTCACAGCAATAATTATATCAAAAAGTGACTCCGACCACTAAGAGTTGACGGACGCATCAATAAAATTGTCAAAAAAATATCAGTACGCCACACACAAATCAATTTACTCATACAAGTACTTCACATTGTACGCTTCGCCTGTGACCGACTACATCCCCACAATTTGCCACCGTCCCTTCAACGGTCAGTGGCTGGAGTTCGTGTAAAATGTAAAAATAACCAAGTAGCAATCGGTCTGCGGTTGCTTGACGCCGCACACGCGACATCGCGTTCTCTCTGCTACGTTTTTCTCATGATCGGGTGGAGGTCTCCGCCTCCGTGTGCCGACATCTTCACCTTGCCGGCCACGTGGTTTTTGATGCACGGCCCTGCGTCCTTCATCGACACACTCCCCTCCTCAATGTCTTCGTCGGATGAAAAGTCCGATACGCACAACGTTAAGTGCCGCTTCTTAGGCGGTACCACATGCAGTGTCCACCGCATGGGACCTTTGTGATTCCCCTTCAAGTTAGTATCCCGTGCTTCGTAATCCGTGTCAGATGCAGCTCTCTGTGAATCGTTCTTTAAACTCCGTATGCTCTTACTTGGTCTATGGGTTTGTTCCTTTTTTTCCCCCCTCGGGGGGGTGTGGAAGTTTTTTAAATTCATGACACTGGATGTCTGTCCCTTGGAGTTCAAATCGGGAAAATTTTGGGAGTATATCACAACGCTGTCGACCGGTTTTTCCTTATGAAATTTTGCTGACTGCTTACTTTTTGTGTCGCTCTCCGAGGGAGAGCTGGAGACGCGTTTCTCTGCCGAGTTTCCACTACTACAACTAGTGTTACTATTGCTTGTACTGTATTGTTCAACGGCTTGCTTTTCTAGTTCTCGAAACTTAGTATCTATACTTTCATCTGAAGCTTTATACTGTTCAAGCGCTTCTTTCTCTAATTCCTCAAATTTATGATCTACATTTGGTGGCCGGCCGACTCTCGTTCCAGGAAGAACCATTTTGGGGCTAAGCTTGAGGAGGCCAGGTGTTACAAGTTTCTGAGCTAATCTAACCACTGGATTAAGGCCGATAGGAGCCGGAGCGCTCATACTAAGCACAGTGCTGTATAGACGCTTCTTCCTTAATCCTGTTTCCATTGCGGCTGCACTAGTTGACGGTAGCTGGCCATCTGTTACGACTTTGTCCTGAGTTTTAGGACTTTCGGGTTTATCAGCTTGCGATGCCTGTAGTTGTTCGATTGCGGGAACAATGATCTGTTCGCTGGTACTACTGCTTTCTTTTTCTGAAGATTGGTCTTCTTTCTTTTCTTCCTCTTGTTCTATTCGAGGTAAAGCTTTTTGACTTGAGGTTGTTGGTGTTTGGTTGATGTGTGTGAGATGAAATTTGTGATCAAGGCGCAGAGAGGGATGGTCCTTTGGCCACCAAACACCGTAACGCCGTTCAGGGCACCGTGCCGGTCGCTGGCCAGTGGGCGCGTACCGACTTACGTTAGTGCCTCGGTACGGGGGACATCGCGCCGCTGAAGCACGCATTACAGCTTGCACACTAGCTGATAACCGACCCATCGCTCGTTGACATTCTGTTAATTGCGGGGGCCGCGGTGGGTCGAACTGGAACTATAACAATAGAAAATCATTTCGATTTAACATGATAATGAAATAATTATCGTCTACCGGATTGCTGTCTATTACCAAGATGTTATGCAAGATTAGTATAGCCCGTATTTAGGAAAAATACAAACCTAAAATGAACACAAAAAGAAAATTATTTTTTTGTCCGTTGCGCTTCGGTTTAGGAATCCCACTAAATTCTGAGGAACAATTACAGTACATTGTAAGATATTAAAATACTGTTTTTGTCCCGATACTATGATTTGATTAAATGCCCGACCCGAGTTTAATGGAACATAGTAAATATTTTGCTCTCAATTATCATTTCTACTATGTCAAAACCCTAATAAGTATACCGTATATACATATAAATATAAAGCGTAAATAACCCGTTCAATCGTTTCGGAGATATGTGATAACAAGACAGACATCGGTCAGCGATTCTTAGAAAATAATGTTTAAAATCACTAGTCACCTGCTCTGCCACTTTCCGATGTTTTATGTTGTATTTACCTGATTATTTTCCTCCTCCTTCTCCTCTTCCTGATCCTGTTTAGGTTACTTATAAGAACACAAAATAAGCCTTTTAGCGACAGGATAGGTGTTGGGGCTTCAAGGTAGTTAAATGAATACCTACTCCCAAGATCGATACAGGTCTTTAATGTCCAAAATAACAGGGTTTTACAGTTTTTTATGTGTCGCAATGCTCGGGCACGGTACTATTATAATACAGTAGTGTAACTCGGCCGCATGATAGAAATAAATACCTACAGCCGCGCGGTACGTAAACATGCGTTAGGGCTGCCCGTCTCCAGCATTTTAATTATATTTGCCTACTTTCTGTTTCCATTTAGATTTGTGATTGTAAATATCCTTTTTATATAAGTAAATGAAATACTTTGTATATTGAATAGGAAGTGTTCAATAAAAATGCGTGTTGTTTTTTGATTGGTAGATTTAATTATTTTATTTTCTTTCTGCATTGGAGGAGTTCAAGTTTCAATTTTCTTTTTCTTGGAGTGTTGCTAGAGAGACTCGTTGAGGTTTGAGCAAAGATTTAATTTGTTACATTTTCAGTCTGTCTATTTTCATTTCCTACCAACGGAGCAGTTTGGGTTTGTTTATCTTCTTTTAGAGATACTCCTGGATCAGTACTAGCTAAGCTTGGCAGCATCAACAATGGTAGGGCATTCTTTTTTAAAAGTTTTCTATTTGATAAATGTAATACATCCTCCAAATTAAAATGTTTTTCACAAACTTGGTAGAAAAAAAATCTGCGTGGTGTCAGGTATTTTTCTTTAGGTTTTGAGAATTTCTTGATTCGGTCACCGCGCCGCGCTGCGCTAAGAGCCCGCGATAAAAGCTATGCAATAGCTTAAAAATCCTTCTATAGAATAAAAAAATGTGGTTTCTCCTTACGCGTTACAAAACTCCTTAGAAACTCCAACACCTACCTACTCAACTAGAATGCAAGAAACAGCTGACGAGTAAGTAACTTTTTATCTCAACTTATTAACGTCTCTATAAATTAGGTACCTACCTACAACTCAAAACAAAAACTCTTTGGTCACCAATTAATTAATTATTAAAAAGCTGAACAGCTGACTACGAATGTTTTAAAATCACAACCCTCAAACATCTAAATATCATATATGAGTCTAGCTGTTGTTGTTAATACCGAGAAAATGAAACCAGTTTTTAGTGGTATATGTTGTTATAGTAGCAGCAGAAACACTTTGTGAAAATTTCGAAAACACACACATTATCTAATGACACACAGACGGTAAAAAAAATTTTCTAGTATTATTCATACACACAGATAATAAACAAATATTATTAAAAATAAAATATCACGTCTTTACTTTGATTTATGCAAAGTAACAAAACACACATGCACCGAAATTTTAACACAAGCGTAAGTAGGTAGGTACCTACCGTATCATGATTCATTCAGAACCGCATATAACTACCTATTTCACTCGTCTCAATAACTTTCCGTTACTCTATTCGCTTTATTTATTAATCCAAACACCTTTTTTTTCGTAAGATAAAAGTAAATACTTATCCATTAAAAAGACACACATTATGTACCTACCTACTAGTAAGTAAAATTATTTTATAGTCTTACCTTTCAGAGTTTCCAGGTAATTTAAAAAAACTAATGTCTGGATGCGTTATTGACGAATTCATACAACCAAAAACAGCACAATATTTCCTACTCGCCATATTAACTGATTTTTAGAGAAAAAATCGCGCGGTTATTGTTAAAAAAAACAACACACCGTCCGTTCGACACTGCGGTACAGCCGTGACTGTCTGCGCCCCGAGCGCACCCCGAGATCGAGGCGCGTAGGTATAGCTCGCGTTTCGTCCGTTTGTATGAAGTTGGAGTACTGTATTATAATATTACCGTGGCTCGGGCGTTGGAAGTGAGGCATAAAGTAATGTTTTAAATGTATAGTAATGCGACACGAATAGCATCGACAAAAAGAACTATCGGTGTCTACTGCATTAACAATATGTCATATGTTCGACGTATGCTTTATATGTTCATCTCATGTGCTCATGAACTTAATATTTTACGCTTTTTGGTGTTTAACTTTGCCCCTTTCCGTTCCATGACAAAATCTATATAAACGGGAATTAAGCGATCACGTAACTGACTGAGTCAGCCTGTGACCAAGGACATTGTGCCTGTTGTGTTATGTGATTGAGTGATTAAGTAAGTGAGTTCCCCTCATTCTAGGGGTGGCACAAAGTTGCAAATTACCCTTGGCAGCGTTCGTGATTTACCATCGGGTGATCCGACTATCGTTAGACAACCAAAATTTATAAAAAGCAACACTGAGATATTCTCACCTTGCACGTAGGATCGCAGAAGAGTTGAGCGGGTACATCCAGACAATACGACGGCGGGGGAGGTGCAAGCGCCGTCAATCGTCTGGGCTGCCGACGCCTAGCGCGCATCTTCCTTGATACTGATGGAGGGCTGGGCGCTCGAGGCGTTATGGCTGGGGGAACCCGTGTCTGAGCAGGCGGAGCCCATAGGGCTCGTACGCTGAGCACGCGCGCTGCCAGCGCCGCTTCTTCACCCGCGGCCCGCCCCCCACTCGGGCCCCAGCGCTCGCTAGCTGCCGATTGGTGCCAATTAATTCCTCTACTCACGTAGAGACATGTTTACTATCATTAGATTTTAACAAATATATACAGAATGTTACAGCAAGGTGGGATCATATTTTTAGAGCGTTGTGTAGCCGTCAAATAATTCATTTTGTTTATTCATTAATTGTTTTCTTAAATTGTCACACAGTAAAAGTAACACACTGTAAAAATACAAAGACAATCATAGTCAAGATGTTACAATCACGACTAAATGGATGGAGGTAATCTTTATGAAGCTTTTCACTATGCTTCAATACTCTACAGATGTATACTGAACTACGTAGTTAGTTACAAGATACAGATTAGCAAGAGAAAAGACGCACAAATCCTCGTCGGGAAGCATTCTGTACTGGCGACGTCGGCGAGGAAACATACTGCGTTCTGACGATTCGTCTACTAACTTGCGGAACCAGTACTCCACCTGGTACGGAAGATTTGATTAGCATATTTGTTTACAAAGACAATAGGCTTTCCTCCTATCGTGGGTTGGTTAGTTATTTGTAGTTCATAAAATATCAATGATTAATATTGTATTCCTCCGCTTATGTGCACATATGCGCGTATGTGTGCAACATAATTATTCGAGTAAAGATGCGATGCTCTTGTGCCAATAGGTGAATATGAATTATGCTCTACCGTAGGATAGTCGTGAATCGGAACCGGTTGCTTTTCACAGAGTTAGTAAAGTTACCGCAACCTTGGGATTCAGAGTGGCAACGCACTCGTGACTGAGTTGCGGGTGTCCATCGGCTGGTGGTAGTCCCTGCCCCTTAAGACCAAGAGGACCATGCTCAAGTATTGACTATTGAGACTAACTGAAAGTCAACCGTCAATGATATTTTAAGGAAGATACGTTATATTCATACTGCACGCACAAAATATTTGTTCCCTAACACTATACATACATCTATTAATGCATTTTAGAACAAATATACTCTACAAGTGCGATAGGAAATTGGGAAATCATAAGAGTGAAAGAGACATCTATTTGTAATCAGTACAGCAACAGAAGGCATTTTATGATTTTTTTCGAATTAGTACGTGTTATTAATTTTTGTGGTCCTAATTAGGACCCCCACGTTTTGTACGTGACTACCTCTTGTAGTGGCGTATCTACCTCTTGTATGCATATAATATCATTGCCTTCAGTAGTATTTTTATAAAAGCCAAAGTTATATCAAAATACATTACAAGATCAGTCTATTAACAGGATACTGACTTACCTCAGGCAACATCCAGCATTCCGTAAGATCTGAGTTCTCACAGCCCTGGCCGTTGTAACCTCGCAAGTTTGTTCTCTCATTAGTATTTGTATAACATTTCTCTCTTAAATAGAAAACATGTGGAAGATATAGAAAACAAAGCTTACAAGTTATGAAACCACTATGTAATTATGTCTGTTAATAGTCCCAGGACATTATAACAATATATTCTGAGACCAATTTCAAACACAACTTAATTTTGTGGTCCAACTTTTATAAGTCGAAGTTAAAATCAAAAATTAATGTATATTGTACCGTTATTCTTGGTGTGATATTTCCAAAAAGACAATAATTATTCCTCTTGTATCTCTGACCACTTAAACCAACTTAGTCTAAATGTAGTTACTAAAACTTTGTGCACTTGTACTAACAAAGACCAAATACTAAGAATTACTTCTTCACCTGCTGGAGGTATATCTACGAGTAAACTAACAATATCAAATAATTACTAATCATTTAGGTCTAACTGAATAATGTCATTGTAGCAATAACCTGACTTCGTCGTAATAAAAGTTTCCATAAAATTGTGCTAGTCTTGACTCTGGAATAACGTCTTTTACACTTCTTCTGCCACTACTGCTTCCATTTTCTTGGCTTTGGCTTGATATTGCTCGCTTATTATCTACAAATGAGTGTATAAAGATGATGGCTGACCGAAGCATAAAATTACATCTAATTGTTTGAGATAAGGGGCATTAAGATGTTCATATTCTTCATGAATAATAATTGACTAAATGTATCAGGCCAAAACCTTCTTTTAAGGTGAGGCCATGTCCAGCAGTGGACTATTAAAGGCTGTTGATGTGATATGAAATGTAACATTTGCACTTTCTCCAAATCAGTTTCAGACTGGTATGATAAGAATAATGTGTTGGGGGACAAACGAGAATAATTAGAGCTTTCTGGAATACCACTGCGTCGCTTAGAATCCAGTGCTTATTTTCTAACAAAGTCTATTTTAGTTGATATACCATGGCTCCTGGTAAGTAAAAATGGCTGCGACTATTGTCCATACTTGTTAAGAACCTCCTCATATCACGTATGATATTTCCTATTATTAGAACAACCAAGAACCTTCAAACCATCTTGGTTCCGAAGACTCAAGTGGAATGATGGGTAAATTAATTTTATTTACCACTAGGTTCTAGAAAATTATTAGATTTTTAATTCAGTGTACTTTAATAATAGTACGAAGGCTTAAACATTGTTGGGGCTCAGAATTGAATAGATCAGAAATAGAAGTTCTTACCGGATAATTCGCATTGATTATTTGATTGCAAACTTTGTGATTCTGATGTTGTGTCCTGTAGTACTTGTGAGACACGACAATGTTGTGCCCAGAGACGCTGAAATGTTAAAATATAATAAATTTTGGTATAGTAGGCTTTCTAAGGAAAGGCCTATGTCCAGCAGTGGACTACTGAAAGCTATTGATGATGATGATGATAATTAGACATCTGACAGAAGCAACAGCTCCTATAAGAAGACACCTGACCCACATAAAGAAAATTTAAGGTATTATGATTGTGTACCTGGTTAGCTATAATAAAATCATCGGGAGGTTCTGTAGCCCATGTGAGATCCGCACACAGGGCGATATGTGCCCACGCAGACGAGTACCGATCCACTTCGAAGCTCATTCAATGTGACATTTCACACATACAATTAATTATCTTTAGAATAAGAAACGAACTAATATAATAGTCACTAAATTTTAAGAGAAAAATTAACGGTAAAACTGTTAATAAAAACGACGACAATTTGAAAGACATTGGTGGTTAAATCTACAATAACAAAATTTTCCTCTTTTTTGATAGATACATGATATATTTTTTTCTTTTATTTTAAATCGCTTTTCGAATTTCGTACCTAATGAAATGAATGAAGTTGTCATCGCGATGGTTTGGCAAGTTGATTGCAAGAAGGCTTATTATTTAACATTATGGTCCGGCCATTCAAGAAGCAATATCTTTGTTAAAACTACATGAAGACTCCGTAAACAAAATTAAATGATCTCTATTGACTCTCAAAGTTCTATCTTGAATACATTAATTATTGATCTGCGTTAATTCCTTTAATGTATACTTTTTGGAAGTATAACGGCCGGCAACACTGTACCTATCACAACGTTTATTTTATGGCTGACATCCCACCGCGCATCCCCCCGGCCGTCACCCTACCTACCCTCACCCGCCTTGTCAGTTTGGCTTGCGCAGCCAGGTGGCGGTGTCGTTACGTTCGTTCCGCGCAAGCGCGCACAGCTGAGGTGGCTGAATGGACATTGACAGATCAGTTAAATAATTATTTAATTCTTGTATTAAAATAAATACATGTAAACCATTAAACAAACTTGGGCTTTTATTAAAAAAAAGTGTTACAAAGTATTGGTAAGTTATTAAGTTCGTGAGGTGAACAATAGTAGAAAGAAGCGGTTAAAAAATCGATCATAAAACGACTATTCATAATTTCGTTGATATTAATATCTGTGTTAAACGACTTTAGTTAGTTTTGCAACAAGTGCGAGCCCCGTTGCTCGTGTCAAGAACGGGTTTCGGGACCGTTGAGTTTTTGTTTATGTATATTTGTTTGTGGTATATATATTTTGCGAGTGAGTGTAGTGTGAACGTGGTCCGTTAGTGATGCTGCAATCGGTTGCAAGTGGCCACTGAGTCGTCCTCTCGTCACCTGCGCACGGTGAGCTATGTACTTACTTGTATTGGGTATAATACTTGTTATGCAATTGTTTTATCATATCACTGACTGGAAAGAGCGCGAACTAATTTCGGTTCATTATGATTTAAATAGGTTTACGCAGACAAGTGCAACTTGTGCATGTGCGCGAGTGCGATGTTAAGTAAAATCGATCTCTTATGATTAGGTGATCAATTTCGTATGTAACAATTATCTTTAGTCCTTAGTTTTCTTTAACTAAGGTTTATTAATTTGTAAAATTTTAATGTAAATATATTTTTAATTTATTTATATCTGGTATATCCTAGTTTAGTATACCCTACCCTACATAAAGGTACTAAATTTTTTGTAGTTATTTGATTTTCCTGATGCAACTGCATGTAAGAAAAAAAATACAAAAATGGTGATATTATTTGGATAAGGGCAGTTTTGTCTAGTAATATTATTATTTATTAAATATATTTGCCAATATAATATGATGTAGTAGACGTCATATATTATTCATACCTGTAAGCAGGTTAAAAGTACATGTTTTTAATCATACATAATTATTACAGCATCTCGCGTTTGTTTTTTAATTAGCATGATTAATAATTAATGTAATTTTGATGTTGCAATGATATGATTACGACTTAGTGATCTTTTTAAAATGTTTTGTTATTAATTTTTGCATTTTCTTTTCATTCAGGTTGGTTGTGGTTTGGCCGACATCTGATTTGGCTTTACGGCGATAATATTTCTCAATACATATTGTTTCTAAATCTAATATTGTGGTGCTTTTTTATTGCTTGTTGCATGACTTGCTTCATTTGTAATATTAAAAAAAAACTATAAAACAGGCCAAATTCAGTTTGTTTTGAAACTTTTTTGGTCCTCTTTTAACTTTTCAATTAGACAATGTTTTTGAGTAACAGTAAGATAAAAAATACTTCATTTAAACCGACTATGTAATCCTTTGAAATGAAACACTTAATTCGATCAGATTTTTAACGTAAACGAAAAAATTTCACGATTCGAATATTGCCTTTACGAATGCATATTGCCTATATACCGAAATTGCTTATTATTTTCTTTTTATTAATTATACAAATGATTAAACAATTTATGTGTGTCTTAACACAAATCTGCAACATTTGTCTTTGTTTCTGCTCACAATAAGTCATTACATTTACATAACGGCAGCTTGTTTTATTTATTAATGTACTACTAGTATATACGACATAATCCCATATTAAATGAACAACATCGTAACACAACCTCCAAAGTACAATGTCAAAAAAAGCCTCTAAAACTTTCACATTAATTGTAATCATAGGGTTCTGTAATCGGAAATATCATTTATAAAAAAAAGGTGAAAAATCACAGGATGTACTAAAACGCATTTTTTGTCTCTCGTACTAATAACCACGTTTAATTTGGAGTTGGTATACACCTACACACGTAATTGCGAAGCATTTTTTCCTTTAGGTTAATAGATTGGTCGCCTTTTATGATTTTTGCTTAGTCCTTATCAAATAGATACTCAATAAATTAGCAAATCGGGATTACTCAAACCAGACTCGTTGCACTTAAGTTCTCCAACTCAAAACAAACCGACTCTTCAGTTACATAATACTATCTTCCGAGGTCCGTATCATTGCATACCTATACATTTTCCTAAGATCCCAATCCGTTAAAGTCTGCCCGGCCGCGCCAATGGCCTTGTCCTACTTTGGTTATCCTAGAGGATTCCGCTTTCCGTACTTTGGTAGGCGAAATAAATCTTAATTCTCAGTGTGTCATAATTGGTTGGTTGGTTGGATTCATGGATTAACGTGTGTATAATAATGTGTTTATGCAGTTTTACATCTTTAAACTGTATTATAATATATCATTCAATTTTTTTTGTCCTATTTTATTTTTAAATCTACACTAGAAACTTAAGTTTTTCAAATATTATATTTTGTACTATCCTAAACCTAAATAAATACTCAAAAATATATGAGCCAAAACGTTCCTTTTTTTATATTTGTACTGCATAAGGCGGGAGCCAGGCTGTGTAACCTTGACCCATTTCGACAAACACCCCGCCATCTTTTCATATGCCCTTTATTTAGATAAATTATTCTTTGGATGAGCTCTGAGAGGCATGTGTATATATTTTTAAGGGTAGCACGTGCCGAATTTAGACTTCTTCGTTTATTCTTAAAGTGAAATAGAAGTTTTTTTATGCTTTACTATTTCTACTTCGTTATATATTTTTGGTGTAGGTAATTCTATAGAATCTGTTAATTTGATATGTTTAGTTAAATTGATAGTAATAATTATCTAAGAGATCTCTTTTTCATCTACTATTTTTTTCATTTACTTTTTGTCTCATTATTTTATTTTACAGAATTATACATTACAAAATTAGGTTAGTGCTAACATAGTTCTCATCGAAACTTTATTGGATGATGTTTTATCTTCTTGTCAAAAACAACTGTCTTCACATTTCTTCTTTAAACTTAACATAATTTAAGTAAAATCTAATATACCTACTAAAAAAATAATGTTTTTTGTTCATATTTGATATGGTGCTGTACGTTTTCAGAGATATAAAGACGTACATGCACACCCGTTTATCCAGAATAACTTAAATAAGCGTAGATAGCTGTTGTAAATATTTTGCACTGTGTCTAATAATGATAATCAAGCTTAAAAATATATTCATAATTCATTCATTAAAGTAGAAAACTCATCTTATCTACATCATTTTTCGTATTAACAAATGTAGCTGTTTATTGTAACTGGCAAAATTGTCGAGCATGTATGAAAAAAAAGGGCACATTTTTTGTTCAAAAATTATTTATTGTGGTATTACGAGTATAAGGCATCTGAGATCATTAGTTAGAAAACTCGCTAATCCTGTGTGCTGCACGCTGACAGCGTCAACACCTCTTATTTTACGATAGAAGACGTAAGCTGTAAGCTAATATACTGCAAAGGCGGGAACTGCCCACATTTTCGTTTGTTTTTTTTTCTAATTATGCTTTTTCGTCGACAAGGAAAACTTTTTATTGTAAATTGGAAGTCAGCTTAATGAGATCGAATTTGTGATATCTTTGAATCAGTTCGGTGGCTGTTAATATGATTTAAGATAGACCTTCATCCGTTAAGACGTTACCTTAGAGTTTAAACAACAGGAACGGTTTGTCTTTTAGGGGTTGTAGACAAGAAAAACCCTGATAAAATGACCCTACGTAAGTAGATGCGTTCAATATGTGCGGTCATACAGTAAAGGCTTTAAGTAGAAGGCTTTGCAGTTAAAAACTTTCTGTTCTTATTTCAATCCCACTAGTGTAAAGAAAGAAGGAACACAAGGGAAGTTGATGACGATGACTGACAAGAAAAGACATGATAAGATGTTTGACAAATACTTGTGTGATAAGCACGATAATTTGATCGGTGTCTGAGTGTAATTTATTCATAACATGTACGTATTTAGAAATATATAAGAGTGTTTATCAGCAATCTGGTTACCGTAGTACAGGGTCTGCCGAATTTGGGATAAGGCGGCTGTGTGTGAGATGTGTGAGGTTATTATTATTATGTTAGGGAAAATTATTAATAACAATATTGTGGGACACAGACAGCGTTTCACTATGGGTACACTTAAAAACATTTTTGTAAATGCGTACACATTAAATTACAATTAAATTAGTACGAGTTACAGTATTTATTCAAATGTTTGAGAAAACAATCAACAATCAGTACATTCTGTATGGCCGTAACAAACTGTTAACTATTAAAACGCGTAAATATCCGATAAACGATCGATACACACTAACGGCCTTTAAACTGCGACTACTTACAGCGACCCAGATACGAAAATTTTTCGTATATTGTGTACCAGCGGATGAGACGAAATATAACATGCTATAATTGTTTAGAATTCGTTCATTTGGTACAAGTACGTTAAATATTCATT